TATATATAGTGAACCATTGCTAATTTTAGTAAAACTAATATTTACCTCATAATGACCTAAATCTGTCAGATTTGAACAATTGTTGCTTGACACCTCATAAGAAGATTTGTACATTTTTAGTTATTACTATAAAAATGGATATAAATTTTGGCATATAGATTTATTTCCAAAATATTATTGCAGAAGAAGAAACAATTAAGTCTAGTTGATATTGTTTACCATCTGTAACACGATACAATCATACAATCTATTATCCAGTACCATATATGGTTAGTAAAAGAAAAAAGGAAACGAGAAAAAAAAGAGAAAAAAAGAAAATAACAAATATTGTGTTTTATATTCCAACTATAAAAATTATAGCTATATAGACACTAATGATTAACATTGTTTCGCTTTAAATCCTCTTTAGAACTTGTGTTTTGATTCTTCTCTGTAGTAGGTTCAATGCTTCTTGATTTTTCTGGTTTTGGGGTATATACCTATTAGATATGGTTCTTTAGATCATAAACAAAGTTTGGGTTTTTACTAGTTTGTGTGGTTACAAAAAAAAAAAAATTATGACTTCTAGTCGATTATTCTAAAGTATTTGTAATTTGTAATAGATTTGGTTGGAAAATGATCTTGGGAGAGAAAATTAGTGGTGGTTCAGCGTGGAGCAGAGATGATGATATTGCTTTTGAGAGAGCTCTTACAATTTTTACCGATGAAACTGATGATCGGTGGGAAGATATTGCAGCAGTTGTTCCAGGGAAAACTTTAGAACAGATTATAGAGCATTACAATATTTTAGTTGACGATGTTATGATGATTGAATCTGGTTGTGTACCTCTTCCTGATTATGGTTTTTCAGAAGAAACAAATCACAGTTCTAGTGATGAAGAAAGAAGCATTTGGGAATGTGGCAACAATAGCAAACGTGAGTATGAGCAAAAAGGTGAATCAAAACAAAAGCAAAAACGACGAAGAGGAATTGCATGGACCGCCGATGAACACAGGTTAGTTTTTAAATGAGAGAATTTGCTTTTTTTTTTTTTGTAAAAGATAATTTGTATAATTTGTTTTTTTTTATTTTTGTACAATTGGTTGTGATGGTAAGATTATTAATGTTTTGTGTTGATATACCGTTTTTCTCCTATATAATTATGATTTCAGAGTGTTAATACTTTTCTGAAATTTCAAATC